GAATGTCTAAAGTAAAAAAGCCATCAAGTCAGCCTTCTGGGTTTCTACATCCATAAAATGTGCTTTGAATTTAAATCAGAAGCTGCTCATCTCAACTTTTATGGTCTATAACTGACTGGTTAGTGATTTGTAACAAGTAAACAAGACAAAACCAGTGAAATACCCAAGTTCACAACAAGCTTCTAATGTAAATATCCGTAGGAAGGAATTTATGCTGGCAGTATTGCTAAGACACCAAAATTGTATTCTCAGTTTTATCTCTCAACATTTGTCTTAAAACTGATGACTCAGAGGTAACTGCCATATATTCCCTACTACAAAAATAAATAAATACCCTTTATTTTCTTTTGAAGTTTACATGCCACAAGGAAAGAGGGACTAAATCCTGACCTACTATTTTATTATAAATTAAAAGTACATTCATTCTTCACAGAGGCCCAGCCAGAAGTCATTTCAGGTTCAGAAAGGAAAAATAATGTCACTCCAGGATTCCCCAGCAGCGTTAATATGTTTATTCAAACAAGTCTGTCCAGCTGTCAGCCACACAGCCCAAGTGAGGGCTTTCTCAGCGTGTTAATTTTCTCAGGTTACAAAGGAGAACATTCTACATCAAAAAGGGGGCTTGTTCTATCACATTGGACTTTCTGTCTTTACCCTTTCCTATATACAACATTTATGTAGGTCTTGTTTTCTTTCTAAGTCGAAAACTGAACCGAACTCAGCTGACTGGCTAGTTGAGACTAACTACAGCTTGGAGATTAAAAACTACATGCAGTGTTTTCTAGCTGCTAGAAAATTTCCCTTCTGACACTCTCACTCAATCTTGGACAGAAGTGAAGCCTTCACTTCAAAAGACTGAAGAACAACAGATTCAGCCAAAGAGCTTTTTGCCCTCACAGCTCTCACACAGTGTTCTCGGCATGAAACCACAACATCTGATCAGCAAAAAATGAACACACTGAGCACCAAAATCTGTGCTTCAAAATCTGAAGTTAATACTTCACTGCTTTTAGGGAATCATAAATAAAAGCTGAGTACCAGGGTTTCAAGCTCTCCTCTTTACTGAACTTTGCTACTTTGGCTGAAAGTTTTCTTGTACTTCTCCAAGAATCTCTTTGGCAGGGAGGGGAGGAGGTCAGAGGTAACTGTCTGAACGTGGGATCAGTAGGTTCCATCACAGGCACTCTGCATTTTTTATTCCAACCTGGTTGTAAAGCATTTGAAAGCTTTTATGTGAATATATTTCTTTTCAATGAAAACTTCTGCTCTGCAGGGAGTTGGACTGATCAGGAGCTTCTCAAGGCGTTACTATGTCTCTGAACACAAAGGACTTCAGCCCTAGCAGTCCTGCTCGGGCAGTGATTGAGTGTGTAAGGGTTTAAAACAATCTCTTTCTTCAGCTTCACAACTGTACTTTCTAATACAAATATTTCAATGTTCTTTATTTGGAACAAATCCAAAACTGGTAAAACACTTCAACTTGCTGACAAGGTAATACTGAAAGGTTGTCCTCCCTTAGCTCTCTGGAGCTGGCCTTAACACCTCTTACTGCATGAGAAAGGTCTTAGTCATGGACCATTGCCATCTGCTTGGCAAAGAGCCTGGGCATCCTCCAAGTTACCTTACTCAGGCATCCTAAACTCCTTGTCATCAGAGTGAGAAGCACTTTCCTTCAGCATTCCCCAGCCCCACTGACAACTTCAGCTAGTGCAGTCTCTGTAGTCAATCAGAGAACTACCATCACAGAGCTGGGCTGGCACAGAAACCTCCAGGTGGATGTTTTCTTCTTTGGAGCAAAGAATTGTGGAAAGAAAATCTGGTTTATAAAATTTTCTTCTCTGAAAAGTGGAGGGGTGGTTTTGGTTTTGTTTTTTTTTTTTTACTTATGTTGAAAGTGACATGTATGTCAAAAGACAAATGTAAAGATCACTTTAGCTTCAAGACAGCAAGAACAAGACTTTTGCTCCTGCTGTACCAGGGTCGGTTGCCAAAAGGTAGCAAGAAGCATCACACAGTACAAGAGGAAATAGTTCTTTATATTTATTTCCCCGATATTCTTTTCTGGGTGAAACCTACTCATGGAATAGCAAAAAAAGTCATCACTACTGGTCAGGTATCTCAGAAGTCAGCACAGGGGAAAAAAACCCCACCACTTTTTACAGATAGAGACAAAAGAACAGAGTGCTTCTGTCCATGCAAGCTTTGGCTAATGCTCTGTGAATGTTTGAAATTTTTACCCATCGTTGTTCTCTCATTTCAGATTTCTACTGCTCATTTCTGTCTTCTTAGAGAAAGGACTTCTATTTCTATAAATTTGCAGGCAGGCCATAATTTTAAATCAGCAGTAAAATAATTCAATAATCTCTTGCAAATGAAGGATCTTCTGAGTTTATAGAGGTTAATTTATTATTATCACTTACTCATAATTCATTATTATGAGCGGTTACAGGTATAATGTCATAGTGCACGTTCATTTCTTCTCTTGCTACAAATGCCATAGGGATTTCAGCAGCCAGCTCTTTGAGTCCTCCTTGGCTCTACATTTGATAGGGAGCCAATAATCTGACTGTTCTCTTGTGCAGACTCTGTTTGGAAATGGCACACAAATACTTCTCCTGAACATCTCTCAAAATGTCACTTTTACCTGATCTAAAGAAGCAGATTTTAATTAACTGTGTGTGGAAAAGTTCTATTGTGTATGAAATTTTTACATTTACCATATTAACTGCACTTTGTGGACACCATTGCCTGTTAACTAATTTCTGCAGCTCTAGACCAGGTGTTGAATAACTCCAATGTCTCCCTGCAGTGTAGGCAGCCAATACGTTTCATAACGTAGTTATAATTTTATACAGAGTTTATTACAATAGAATCTGAGTCCCAGCTGAGCACTATTCTTTCATCTCAACACCACAGAGTACACCAGAGTAATCTGAAAGAGCACACATCTAGTGGGGGCTCTGGAAGCAGCCCAGCTGCTGCTGCCTGCAAGGGGGGTGCAGAGCACTGAAGGCTCGCAGGAGCAGAGGACATGGCAGGAAGATGTGGCAGGGGAGGGTGAGGTTGGCCATGAGGAAAAGGTTCTTGAGGCAGAGGGTGGTGGAGCACTGGAACAGGCTCCCCAGGGAGGTGCTCATGGCACCAAGCCTGACAAGATCCCAGCAGCATTTGGCCAAGGCCCTCAGGTACATGGTGTGGATGTTGGGATTGTCCTGTGCAGGGACAGGAGTTGGACTCCATGATCCTGGTGGGTCCCTTCCCACTCACCACATGCTATGATTCTCTGATCAGGCCCTTCTGGGCTGTCCAGAAGCACAACACCAAAGACAGATGAGTAAGAACTGGTGAGTCCAGTGGCATTGCCAGCATGTGAATTTACACCTTCAAAGTTCTCCAGGCCCATGTTAATTCCTAGAGTTTAATTAATTCCAGGTACAATTACACAAGCTACCATCATATCTGTACTTGCAGATAACAGTTTTCAGTTCTGTTTTTCCCTTTTATGTATCTCAACATTATACATCTCGACTCCATACATGGGAAATAACCTTTGCTTTGAAGACTTTGGAGTTGGTTCTTCAACTCCAACTGGAATTGCACACTTTTATCTTTTCAATATTTCAAACCTTTATGATTCTATTAAAGCTTTACTGACACAAAGACCCACAGAAAGCAGCTGTTCCTCTCTTTAAGTACACAAAATTATCATATTTGGGTAGCATCAAACACGCTTACTCTATTTCTACCAGAGACTAGAGGGATTGCACCCAAGGGTAGGTCTGCTAAGTAATTACTGATAAAAATTCAGGTTCTAAACACCTGCTCTAAAAATTTTTTGTTTACTTTAGCTTTTTGCTGCTTTACTCGTGTGTTTTTAAATAATATATATATCTGGTTCCCTTTAAAAATATATATTATTTAATTTACCAGATTATTTATTAATTTCTGGTATATATCCTAAGTGATATCTTGAATGGTGCATTTTAAATATAAACTCATACTTATTTTTTCATTATTATACTCTTTATAGTTGTGCAGTGTTGGAAAAATATCTATTGTTATTCAAAATGTGCAACTGGTGAGAATGAAACTAATATCTTGCTCCCTCCTCTCCTTGTGCTCCACAAAAGGTGCTAGCAAGGTTTGTGGTTTCATAAGATCTATTTAAATAATGACTAAAGTCACCATGCTTTTTTTGTCATTGTTGTTTTAGTTTTTGGGGAATTTTTTTAACATTTTCTATACTTTCACTACCAATAGGACAACCAGTAGAATGAGCTACATCACTAGTTTCTTGCCTGAATTAAGTCAAATTCACAAATTCCCACCTCATCCCCAGTTCACACCACGAAATGGCTGCCCAGAGAGGGTGTGGAGTCTCCATCTCTGGAGGTGTTCAAAACCCACTTGGACACGATCCTGTACAACCTGCTGTAGGGAACCTGCTGTAGCAGGAGATTGGATGAGATAATCTCCAGAGAACTTCCCACCCCCACCACTCTGTGAAATACAGAATAAATGCACTGACTGCAGTGGTATTCCCAAGGATCAGCTGAGATCAGGATTGAGTCTACTTTGTCTCATCTTTTCTCCTGAAGAATTTCCATCTCCTCTCTAGAAACTCCTAAAAGCTTTGGAAATCTGGAAAAAACCCCACTATTAAAGCATTGTGTTCAAACTTTCAAGTATCAAAAGAGGGAGAAAAAGAATAGCAGTTCACCATGGATACTATTGATTGAAACCATTTAAATACCATCTGAAATGTCACTGACATTTACAGCTACTTTTCTTTTTTTTAAAAAAAAAAGAGGAAGAAATTACACATGTTGACAAGTAAATAACAGGAGATTGCTGATCTTGGCAGCTGTCATCTAGACAAGCCAATAAATTATTCATATCAGCTTGTTTTATTGTCTTGCCCCTCACAAATGGCACAGCGCAGGTCAAAACAGGGAGATGTTCAGAAATAATGAGTTGTGTTATCAGGAGTTTTCCAGTGGAACGGACGGGTCCAAGGAAGGTCTCCATCCTGCCTGGCATCAGCTGCAGAGGAGCAGGACCTTTCAGAGCCTCACTCACTGCCAAGCACTCAATGGAGTAGAAACCACAACGACACTTGGTACTACACCTCGATCTAGGGAGAAACATCTTCCTCCCTATGGCCACATCCTCAGGACAGACACAGCAGTCACATCTCCGTGCATTTTACAACCCTTTATACCAGCCAGTGTCACAGAGCAACAGGAAATAGAGGGAAAAAATAACCCACGTGAAGTCTGTGTGGTAAAAAAAGCATAAAGGAAAAACATCTATTTTTAAGTCTGCTTAAATATCACCAAGACTAACAAGACCACCAAAGAGGACTTAGAATGATAAACCATGACCTGCTGAAACCAAACCCTTGCAAGATATTGCTTATTATATTTCTATTACCAATACCGAATGCTTTGCTGACAATATATTGATCTTCAGTCAGGCTTTTGAGAAATTTATTGCATCATTTCATTAAAATTACACAAGTTAAGGTAATGGAGTATTATATTATTCTCTGAAAAGCCAGAAGATTTCCCTGCTTATAAGGAAATATAGATCAGCTGTGGCAAGTAGTGAAATCATACTTTATAAGTATTTTAGCATTTGAAGTCTTACCACTACATGAAATATAGGTAATTTTTCTTCTTTAAGATCAATAAAAGGTCTGTTTTCAAAATGACTTCATATTGATTGAAGGGTCAGAAATGCCCCAGGTATTGATTGTCTGCATATAATCACATTTTGCTCAGTAAGTTAACCTCGTCTACAAGTGAAATGAAAAGAGATCCACTATATCACTTAAGCAAAATATTTTCATTGTATTTGAAAAATTGCTTCCATCAGTCATCGCTGTCTCACTGACAATATTTTTTTTCCCCTTTTCTTTTTCTTTTTTTTTTTTTTAACCTCAGGAAGTAGATTTGCATAGAGTGAACAGCCAGGACAAGCTTGGCCTTACTGTATGTTACAGAACGGATGATGAAGATGACATGGGTATTTATGTGAGCGAGGTAAGATTGAGCTGATTTCCATAAAGAACAATTTGTCTTTTAAACTGCAGTGGTGGGTATTAAGACATTTGTACCATGCTTGAAAAACAGCCAGAATGCAATAATTTGAATAAATCTAGTTATTTTTCCTGTTCTCCAAAATGAGTTAAATCCCACATCCATTGAAGTCAAACTTCATTCTATTAACATGCAGCGTTAATTTTTCCCCTAAAACAGTCTCAAAGTTCAATTTCAGATTACATTTTCAAAGTATTTTAAATATACTCTCCCTTTAATTTTTGTCCCAAATTATTCCAGAAACAATATAAATGGAAAAGTAAAAAAAAAAAAAAAACAAACAAAAAAAAACCCTCACACATTTTTTATTTTCAAAGGTTTGGGCCCATTTGTCTCTCTTTGCTCCCTTTCATTAAATCAGTAGCATTTTATACATAATCTTTTTATCATGCAGATCCATTTCAAATTAGTAGTAGCGGTTTGGGGAAAGAAACTCATAACTGAATCTAAAATCTTCCGTTAAAATGCATCACTTAGGATATAATTCTTCCTGTTCTATATGCAAAAAAACCTGGTTCTAATCAGAGCACTGCATTGTAAAGCAAAATGTTAAATTACGAGGTAACTCAGCATCATACAAACACGATCAACCTACATTCTCTGAAGACACATCTCATCTCAGGAAGAAATGTTTTGGGTTTGAGTTGATCATTTTAATTTGCATTTCACTTTGACACAAGCAAGGAACAGCTCTGTAATCGCTCAGCAAGACGTAACAACCACAGATACAGAAGCAATGACAGACACAGTATCACTCATACTACCAATACTGGGTCTAAACCAGGAGCAAACACTGAGCTCTCCAACCTCCAAGGCACTCACAGTTCTCTTATTTCCTAGATTGATCCCAACAGTATTGCTGCAAAAGACGGTCGGCTCCGAGAAGGGGATCGTATTATCCAGGTACATGTGTCAGTGGCTGAAAGCCTGCTAACACACTCTGATCTGCTGCAGTATCTCTATTTCAGTATAATTTTTACAAACCATTCCCTTCAGACCGGTATTCCTGTGCTTCTTTTTAACTTTCTGAGGATATTTCCCTCTCCTCTGCCATATCTCGCTCAGATTTTGATAGTCCTGGCCAGGCAGAGCCCTAGATTGGCCCTACTCTGCAGGCTAAGCGTTTTGTCAGCAGATGTCATCTGCTTCCAGCACATACCCTGATACAACTTCCACTTTTAAGTCTTTCTTCTATAACAGAAACCCTCTATTTTGGCCCAAGAAATGATTTCTCTTTGCAGAATCTCTCTGGGCAGCCCTGTTTATTCACAGGGACGTTAGTACTTGCTCAGCAGGCTGAACGCTCAGTGCTGTGTGCCAGAATCAGTCCTCTTCCAGGTGCCACAGTCCTACATCACAGAGGATTTGTCACACAGACACTAACATGAGCAGAGGTCCACATCCCATCCAGTCTCCAGGAGCAGCATCCACAGCCTCCCCTGTCCCACACAGGGATGTTCCTGATCCTTTCCACACAAGCTGATGTTACGATTTAGCTCCTGCCCAGCTCTCCTTTCTAGTTTGTCCTTGTAACAAGGCTCTGCACACACACATGTGCCTCTGCACATCACACACAGAGGTGTGGAACAGCTTCACACGTCCAAACCAACACACCTGCCCAACGCTTACCTGAACAACACGGCTGGAGATGTGAACAGGGACTGTGCCTGTCCAGCCATGCAGTTCTGTAGAGCTCATCTCAGCAGCTTTCAAGTATCCCTATGAAAGGATTTCATTCTGTTGCTCTTTTTCTTTAAAGATCAATGGCATAGAGGTACAGAACCGAGAAGAAGCTGTGGCACTTCTCACCAGTGAAGAGAGCAAGAATATCTCCTTACTTGTTGCAAGACCAGAAATTCAGGTACCATAGCAACAACAAAAAACCCCTCTCGAGTCTTAATTAAAAGAGTTGCTGTTTTGTAGAAAGCAATTAGCATCTTTTGAAGAATTTTAATCTACCTGAATCTAGCAAATCTACCTAAAACCTATTACACAGTTTGACTGGACATATATATGATCTAAAATAATGAAATTCAGCAGTGACAGTGCTTACATATATATATTTATATTAAACTTCCATTTATAAGATACTCAGGGATTTATATATGCTGCAATGCTATCACAAACATCAGTGTGGGGTATTATGGATGATTTCAAGCCTCAGCTTTGAAGAACATACTGAACTCTAATTCCTATAGCTATTGATTACTCATTCATTCAAACACTTATTATTTAGCCCTTTATACACCATCTCTTAATGCAGTTAAACACTGTCAAGGAGCTTCCTCAGCTGTAACAAAAGGTTGAACCAGATCCCTTTGTAGAGCAGGGATTAGCACAACAAAGTTGTTGAACAAACAGCCGTGAGCACTATTGTTTGATCTGTCTCTGCTCCTCCTGCTGTGAGAGCAACCCTTGCCAAAGCACCTGGAGACACAGGGTCAGGCTTGTGACTGTGCTGTTAGCCTGGATGTTTCTGATCTTTCCCGTGGGGATAATTGAGGCTGGGAGTGAAGAAAAGTCTTACAGACCCCTAACCAGTATTTTTCCCTCTGGCCCTTGATGCTGCCTCGAAAGAGTTGTGTCCAGACTTTGGGCTTGGGAGTGTTTTTACACATCCTAATCAAGTCGTGCACAAACCACAACAGCCCCAACTCTTAGAATTATTTCCATGGATGAAAAGGCTGGTTTTGTTTCATATATAAAGGGCTGTCAAAGATAAAACCATGCTGCTGGAGATGGAGGCAGCTAGGGGAGGTAGAACAGTCACTGCCACACTTAGCACAGGGAGGTGTGTGCTCCTTCCCAGGACACAGCAGCACCGTCACAGGAAGGAATCTCCTAAGATTTCCCAATCACTTTCCACAAAGAAGGAACATAATTTATGTCAGTCTTCATTCTTTTGACAACATTTGGTTTGTTTTTCCTTCCCTTTTCACATAGCTGGATGAAGGATGGATGGATGATGACAGAAATGATTTTCTGGATGACTTGCACATGGACATGTTGGAGGAACAGCACCACCAGGCAATGCAATTTACTGCCAGCATGCTTCAGCAGGTACCGTTGTTCTGTTGTGCAGTGGTGTCAAAGCTTCACACTGCACTCAATATTCCAATATTGAGCTTGAGTGGATACACTTAGTGTCTCGAATGACGATCAAGGCAAAGGACTTTCTGTAAAATCAAGATATTACATTACTATCTACAAACTTCATCTGGGGGGACCAAAATGTTTTCAAATGTTACCTTTTTTATTTTGCCCCTTACAATAACATGATCACAGCTGTAAAAGTCCTCTGTTCTGGCTGTGGTCACTGAAAGAGACACAAGCTAGGTGTGTGGAAGATATAGCAGGCAGAGAGCTAACCTGTGAAGTTTGTTGTTTGGTATGTATGCACATCCTGAAAACAGCCTGCCTCCCAAAACCTTAAAATCCAAATGAAGAACTCAGGCAAAGGGTTGAAATAAGTTCTAATGTGGGGAGAAAGGCAAATAAAAAGGTTTTGCAAAGCAAAGATTATGCAGGGCCACAGATTTGAGCCTGTACTCCCTGTTGTTCTGCCATGATTAATGCAACCGTACAAGTTCATGAATAGTTTTGCAATTTTTGTCTAGAGTTTTTTCCAGTTTTTTCACTGAAAAGCAGACCTGAGGTTCTGAAAAGGACATCCACAGCACGCTGTGTTTTCAGTCACCAGTTCTCTGAGTTCTTAATAATATTCTTTCCATAAAAATAAAAGACAAAGATGCAGAAAGTGTAACAAGTGACTAAGATTAAGAAAATTATTAAAAAATAAGCAGCCTGAAATATTGTATGTCCTTGCAATAATTCTTCTTTCTGTCTTTTAATTTTTGTTGTTAGAAAAAGCATGAGGAGGATGGAGGTACCACAGATACAGCCACGATTTTATCTAACCAGCACGAGAAGGACAGTGGCGTGGGGCGCACAGACGACAGCACTCGCAACGATGAGAGCTCCGAGCAGGAAAACAACGTGGATGATCACACCACCACCTCCTCCAACACTTTAGGGAGCCAGAAGAAGCTGACCTACAGTCATGACACCCTGGGAAGCGGCGATATGCAGTTCAGCAACGAATCATTTATCTCGGCCGACTGCACGGACGTCGATTTCCTTGGCATCCCCGTAGACGAATGCGAACGATTCCGGGAACTGCTGGAACTGAAGTGCCAGGTGAAGTCTGCCAACCCTTACAGTCTGTATTATCATAACAGCACGCTGGACATCAGCAAAAGCGACCAAGAAAGTGTTGACAGAGAGCTGGAGATGCTGAACGAGGAGCTGCGCAATATCGAGCTAGAATGCCTGAATATTGTCAGAGCTCATAAAATGCAGCAGCTGAAGGATCAGTACCGGGAGCCCTGGATGCTGCACAACAGCGGGTTCCGCAACTACAACACGAGCATCGACGTCCGCAGGCACGAGCTCTCAGACATTACGGAGCTGCCCGAGAAGTCTGACAAGGATAGCTCGAGCGCCTATAACACAGGCGAGAGCTGCCGAAGCACACCACTCACACTGGAGATTTCCCCTGACAACTCCCTGCGCAGAACTGCAGAAGGTGTTAACTGTCAAGGTAACGAGGGGGCAGTGGCATATAACGTCTCCCAAAAGAATTTATTTCCTAGCTCAGAAAGTCATGAGTCCAGCAGTGGTAAATGCCATGCCTCTGCTAAAGATCCCGACCTTGGCAAGCAGCTGGAAAGCAAGGAGAGAAAAGCCAGCGATGGAAGCAAAAGCCCTACTCATGGTCAAAAACCTTCTGGCTCCTACATCTCCCCATACCATCACTCTCCATACAAGCACGCTCATATTCCTGCCCACGCACAGCACTATCAGAGCTACATGCAGCTGATCCAGCAGAAATCCGCGGTGGAGTACGCACAGAGCCAGATGAGTCTGGTCAGTATGTGCAAAGACTTTAACTCGAGCCAGAGCGAACCCAGGATGGAGTGGAAAGTCAAGGTCAGAAGCGATGGGACCCGCTACATCACCAAGAGGCCGGTCAGGGACAGGCTGCTGAGAGAACGTGCCATAAAGATTAAGGAGGAGCGCAGTGGGATGACTACCGATGATGATGCCATAAGTGAGATGAAGATGGGCCGTTACTGGGGCATTTCGGAAGCAGCATTTAGTGAAAGCGAAGGAGCAGAGGAGGCGGCGTGAGTTTATGATGCAGAGCAGGTTAGATTGTTTAAAGGAACAGCAAGGTGCAGAAGAAAAGAGAGAGGTGAATATCATTGAACTGAGCCACAAAAAAATGATGAAGAAGAGAAATAAAAAAATATTTGACAATTGGATGACAATCCAAGAACTGCTAACCCACGGGACAAAGTCACCGGACGGCACACGGGTGTACAATTCCTTCCTGTCAGTGACTACTGTGTAACCGCCCGTGCTAAGTTATGTACATAAACACTACCATTGGGTAGGAATCGATGCCTCGTTCAATGTGGCAAGAGTTTTGTATATAAGATACAGTCAGCGAGTTTATAGTTCAAATACTGAACTCTACAACTGGTGGGTGCCAGGATCTCCATTATAAAGTGGAGAGGAAGCTTGCCCATCTCCTTCAAAGGCAATATTAGCAGTGCTTTTTGGAATACTGATTGTACTTTTTTACTTGTTACCTTTTACATGAAGTGTTTAAATATCAGAAATGTATTAACCATACTTACACAGGTAATTTGCTTAAACTATATTCATATTAAAAGGTACCCGTGCTTTTCTTTACCTAAAAAAATGCAAAAAACCCACAAGAGCAACTGCACATACGGTTTGTTTTTTTTTGTGAAACCATATTTTGTGTTATTATTTTGCTGTTGTTCACTTCTACACAAGAGTGCTGTTTATCCACATTTAGCTCAAGGTTTAAACTCAGAATTAGTCTCATTCTCTTGTAATATTTAACATTTATCAAACAGCAGTTTTTTTTAGAGTTATGATCAACATTTAAACATTTTTCTTTTTAAGGTTTCTGAAGTATATAAGTTTCATCTGAAAAGCCTGAAGCAAAGTACAGTATACTGCAGCTTTAAAGGATTTTAAAGCATGTTTGCAAATGTTGCAACCTCTTGAAAAAAAAAAATGTGCATGTACAGCTAATTTGTTTCTATAAGACAATTTGTGGAATTTGAAAAGCCCATGGTAGTAACTGTTTGCTTTATAGGTTTGAATGTATTGAACTATAAAAGCAGTTTCATGAAATCATCATTAGCTACAAACGTTAACAAGTAAAATGAAGTAAAATAAATTATTGTTTTATATTTCAAACTATTTTAAATTCTTTTGGCTCCCTTCTGGTTTCACCACGTAGAGAACTCTTGCCTCAAGCGTAGCTCCTGTGCTGCGGGACAGCCTACCAGAGTCAAACCCAGGGGGTACATCAGTGCTCTGACTTTGGGGGGAACTTGGATTGAGGTTTCCTTGAGGGAAGGAGAGATGGAGGGAAGAGGCAAGGGAGCAGTAGGAAAATCAAGAGTAGAATCCAGCAATGCAATATCTTCAGCTCACAAGGCATTTAAGATGACCTGTAAGTGAGAAATAGGACTTCTGCTCTCCTGTTTTGCTTTGGTTTGTGGTTTCTTAGTGGTGTATATGAACTTCAATGGGGATTTGAATTAAAACCAGACAATATACAAATTAAAACATATAAATTAAAGCAAATATATAAATTAAAAGAGATGGTGAAAAAGACAAAAACAAAATATCAGAGGTATCTCCTTCTCTCATTTTCTATTTCTAACTAAGAATTCAGATATAAATTGGAATATTCTGCTGGATGAAGTAAAGTGGACTCATAATTAATAACTCCCAGGTTCCTGATCACCTTCCTCTTCCTTTTCTCTTGCCCCCCGCACCCTTCTATATTTTTGTTCTGGACTCTTCCATTATAACTATACAGAGCAAAAAATGATAAAAGTGAGAAGTTGGAAGGGGAGAAATTAGCAGCTTTTCAGTGCCTGTTTCGTCTTTTATCAAGAAGCAAACAACACATTTGTTCAGGGTTTTTTCTACTCCCTTTGTGTGTTAGCACTGAATTAGCATTGAATGTATGCCTACCATATTCCATGGTAAACTTACTGACCTGAAAATCCATCTTCAGCCCATGTAGATTGTCACTGCCCCTTCAAATCTGGCACTCATGTTCATAAGCCTCTGTAAATTTATCTTCAAGTGATATTTTCCTTTGGGATAAAGTGCTAGTCCTACTGGAGTCTATGAAAGATTTTTGTATTGACTTTGTTAGAGCCAGGATTTCACCTAACATACCACCAGCCATTATCACCATGAATAGTACAGCAGGAAAAAATACCTGATTTTCACAATACACTTCCTTCAACATAAGACACTTGCTATCTCTGTCTCAAATCTGCTTTACTCTGAGTTCATGGTCTGTTCATCCCAACTGCAGACACGAAAGCCAGAGCAAAATACTGCCTCTCCTCAGGTTCAGAAATACAGATGCACGGGCAGAGCTGTGATCAGCATGGAATCATAGTCCTCAAACCAGGCATGAAACGACGGTTAAAGCCATCTTTAGTCTGCCTGGAAATACCAGAGTAAGATCTGAAATGCTCTAATGAGGATGGATTGTCATCAGGGTGTTTTCCTCATAAAAATAGGCTCCTTTGGAAAAACTTTACAGGTAATGGTTCCTTCAGGCATCAGTTGTATAAATGCTGAGCATTGTAGGCACGTGGGTAACAGCAGAAACATATTTGGGAATTTAAGTGTGATTTGTAGAAATTACACCAAAGCATCAACAGTATAAAATTTATATTATTTAAGATGTCGAAATAAAATTATTGGCTAATAATTATTCTCACACCTTTGACTTTTTCCTCATTAAACATTTGTTACTTTGGTCAGTTAAAAATCACCTCTCACCTTTAGTATGATGATTTATTAACTAGCGTCAGTTCACAGAATGCATCTGTTATCCTGGAAATCCGGGGAAAAGCTTTGCAAATGGCACATTTTCCTTTTCCTTTCTCAGTTATCTTATCACACATCCTTTTTCACTGCCTTATCAAAGTACTTAATGCGGTGTTGAAAAGGGAGATTTTGAGTCTTTTTATTGCTTTCAAGGAAACATTGGAAATTACCATAATGTTAGTCCAAACCTGACTCCATTACAGGGAAACGACTCGGACTAGAGAGCAGCCTTTGATGCCTAAGAGGAAATATTTCATCCAGCAGCTTTCCTAAAAATTGCATTAGAGGACATAGCTCAGCGCTTCAAAAACAACTGAAATGGTTTTTCTGGTGGCCTTAAGGACAGCTCATGCAAGAAAGCTCCACACAACAGTGGAGATTGCATCTCCTGTCTTACTACAGGCTTGCCCTGAAACCCACCGCTCTCCACCACGTGCTGCACACCCCTGCAGAGCAGCAGAGCCCCCCTCCCAGCCTGGGCGCGGGGTCCTGGCCATTGGCAAGATGCTGACTCAGCTTCAGCCCCAGTTAGTTGGACTCCTGCAGGGATCAGCACTGGGAGGTGCACCCCTTCCCTTGGGGAGACTCCTTCCAACATTTTTGAAGTTCATTTAAACCTGGAAAGAGCTAACAGGCGCATTGCTGACTTGATAGTCTAAATCTTCATTTCCATCCTCCTCAGCCGCTTTACTGAGTGTAATCTCAAACCTGGGTGATCACAGAATCACAGAATGTCAGGGATTGGAAGGGACCTCAAAAGATCATCCAGTCCAACCCCCCTGCCAGAGCAGGAACCTAAATGAGATCACACAGGAAGGCGTCCAGGTGGGTCTTGAATGTCTCCAGAGAAGGAGACTCCACACCCTCCCTGGGCAGCCTGTCCCAGGGCTCTGGCACCCTCACTGTAAAGAAGTTTCTTCTCAAGTTTAAGCAGAACCTCCTGTGTTCCAGCTCACACCCATTGCCCCTTGTCCTACCATTGGGCATCACTGAGAAGAGCCTGGCTCCATCAGTGATAAGTGACCCCAGAATAACGTGTACACAGGGAGAGATCCTAAGTGCTCAAAGAGGGCACAGGCAATTGCTGAGTAGCCCGAGAGGTTTTACCAGAGGCTCGTGCAGAGCCCGTGTGCACAGGTCCCAGAGGCTCTCACGCAGCCGTTACTCACTCCTCTGTCCCACCCCTCAGCTTCGCTTTTGCTTCAGTCTCAGTACGACACGGTTACAGCCCAACAGCTCAGTCCCCATCCTACCCCCACACACACCCCTGCTGCCAACCAGAGATCTGAACCAGACACCCTGGATAAATTTTGGCTGCAGGATTTGGGCTGATTCTTTGCAGTGAAAACAGGCTCTGTGTCAAACCGGGGTCAGGTTCCCTAAATTGCAGCACATCTCCCAGCCACAAGATCTATAAAAATGTAAAATACTTATTTGCAAACAGGGTTTAAATCAGCGTGGAATCACCCAGTTTAGATGTACACTGAAATAGGAAAGCCCTGAACCAAACCGAACAGCATTATTTTGTAAATTAAAAAGAAGAGAACTTGCACATTAGGGATGGCAAATAAAATGAGGTAAGACCACATATTGCCTAGGGACTACTGGTTGGAGAACTAATTAGGATTATAAACTGAAAGTATGTAAATTAACCAAATATAATTATCTGCTAGTGGCCTTTGGAAATAGGTTACAGGATACTTGTTAGCAAAATTGCTCAGATGCCTGGGAGCCATACAAAACAAGCCATAAGCAATTTAAACTCCTCTTTTTGTTTTATTTTTCAATTGTTTTATCAAGCAGTCATTGCATTAAGGATTTATTGGAACATAAACTAATTAAAGAGAAAACCCAAAAACCAAAAGTAAGGCAGAAAGTGTCAGAGCAGATGCTGTACCTCCATCCCAAAGCTCTTGCTTTTATTAAATGTAAATTCTTTAAGGTGACAAAATAGTAAAGATTCTGCTTGGGGTTTCATCCCAGCAGCTTCATTTCTGCAGCAGCAGAGCTGCTGTGAGCTTCCAGGCAGAGTTAATCTGGAATAGCGGTGGTTTGCTTGCAGGAGTGCAGCTTCTCAGCCATGCAGGGTTTATGAAGATGCTCAGAGGCAAACACGCAGAATTAACGCCCCTTTTCTCCAAGGGTCTGTCATGGCACAAAGTAGTACAAGATTCAGAGGCTCCAGTGGGGAAAGCTGCTCACTGCTGGTTGGTGGCAAAGGAAACACAAGATTGGCCACTGGAGACTGATGATGGTTGATAGTCAAGACAGTGGTATGTATTATACACCCACAAAAAAATAAAGGGGGCTCACACAGAGGTTAGCCTGGCTGATCTCATGCTCAGGCGTGAGGGCTTTAGTACACAGGTCCACTTACATCATCTGAAAGACTCCAAGCAATCTTAGAAGATTTGAAAATGGACTATTAACTTACATAGTTAATTACCCTAAACCGTGCTAGTGAAGGATATGAAGAGAAGGACCATCACAGCTTTGGATATCAGAGCAGTGACTGATTTTCTGCTGCTAACACCTCCCACATACCTCCTAATGGTCACTGTTTAAAAAAGTTAATCACCCTGCAGCTCTGCTAACGTGCTGCCAGCCCAAGCTGTGCCCCTCCAGCAGCTCCAGGAGGACCTGTGTCAGAGCTCATACTGCTAAATAAATTGTACAACTATTTCTGTTGCAGGATTGATCAGAAACCCTCTAATGATCATGTTCACAAGTTACCATGCACTGCCCAGAAAGGTTCTTGTGTCAACTCCTCCTCTCAGTTGGGTCCTACCTAAACCTTCTTTGCTAGAATCCTGAAATGCCCAAAACATTGGAAACATCCTCATTCCTGTAGCATAAAAAGATGGAATTGCCTACTCTGAAAACACTAAATCAAAATCAGTTGAAAAGTTATGTGTCTACTGGATTCAATCTACCAGCTTTGAATATTTGGAATTAAAGCTTCATCCAGGTTCTGTTACCTAAATTAGTACATCAACATCCTGGATCTAAAAGCAACTGTAACACTCTTTACTGATCAAGTCCAAAATGGGAAGAAAGTACCACCAGTTTCCTACAAAAAACTGTGTCATCTTCTGCGACACAGAATGTTTCTTAGAGGAGATTTAACCAAATCAATTATTAATGAAAGTAATGACCTGGTAATAACGCTGGAATGAGTGTTTTAATTTACAAAAATATAATGCCAATATTGCAAAAATCAGTGTAGCTCCACCAGAGTCAAAGTCTAAATAAAAATCCAGGCTGATATTCTTACTTTTTTTCTTCTACACAAAACTCGAAGTAGTTAACTAAATTTCTCTAGTATCTTCTTCAAA